CATATGGGTATAACGGGGTTTTGGGGATATAGGTTTCGGGATTTTTTGGCTTGGGAATTTGGGCTTGGAATATGGTTTCGGGATTTTTGGCTTGGATTTTGGGCGCCGAGTTGGCTGACGGGTTACATAGTGGATTGGGGCAAGGTGTCTTGTAAGTGCACTTCCCCCTGCTGTGTGGATGTTCGCCTGCTTCGGGCGGAGTGCTCATTTTGTTGCCCAGTTGGATCCCGAAGCTCCCGCTCCTGCTCCTGGACGGCCAGAACAATGCTGGTCTGCCTCATTGTGCCTTCCAAGGCATTCCTACCCTGCAAAACTCAAGACGGTGCTCGGTTGCCCATTGAGACTTAGTGAGGAAAGTGGTACTCGAAGATGCCGGGCGAGGTTTCGCTTGCTGTGGGTGATGCTTTCAGTGGCTTTCAGTAAATCGATGCCAGATTCAGATGAGCGCTAACTCCTACTCAGCTTGGGCTTTCCTCTCCCGACAGTGCGGTGTTCCGTGCAGGCACAGGGACGTGAAATCGCATCGGACAGCTTCCACTGCCCTGCCGGAGAAGTACCTAGAACTGCTTTGGGAGGCCTTTGCATACTACCAGGTTCTCCCAATTCGTCGAAGCCCTCATTGTCGACACCCCTTTTGAGGGAGTGTGGGAGCTCTTTCAATTCAAAGCCATAAGAGTCGGAAGATGTCACGTACTCGGAGTGTAGAGATGTGTGGAGTGCAGCCTCGAGGCGGACCCTGTGCTGCTCTTCGCTTCGGCTCTTCGCCTCAATATAGAAACAACCCGCAAGCACACAGCTAGCACAATGCGCAGACTAAAGTGCGCAAAGCCATCGCCCTCCGCACCCGCCTGCCTGGAACTCAGATTCCAGAGCCTTGAGGACAACGAAAAAGCGCAGCACCGACCCGACTTTGATGCAAGTCACACTACCCCATTGCAGAGGCAGCCGCGGCCCGCTTTCTTGCATCCTCTTCTCTGGACTTTGCTGCCTGCCGTGCAGCACATCTGCGGGTCACCGCGCGAGACTGCATGGCACCTCTTGAAGCTCTTTCTTCAAGACACCAACCTGACTCCAGTGCTACACAGAGATCACCACGAAAGGCGCTTAGGCTCAGGCCAAACGTTTGAAGACACAACAGAAACTCACTCCTGAGTGAAGGCCACTTCATGGCGTCGACGAAGGTCTTCCAGCTTTGAGACTGATGCCTCGTGGCTTACGCAAGAGTGCCAGGCATGCGTCGAAATGCAGAATGGTCGCACCTCGCATGCCAGGAAGCCATGTTGCAAGGACTTCTTGGCTTCGCCGGAGTCGTCGGCGTCTTTGCCAGGGTCGCCCTCCCCCGTAATGCCGTCCAGGGCATCGGCCAGCGCGAACACTCGCTCCTCGGGGCACAGCCGCGCTTTCTCATCCCGCCGCCTGGCCCCAAGAGACTAAGAGACCCCTGCCTTTAGCTCGGCCGCTTCTTGCATCGCCGTTACGCACGGATTGCAAACGCGCTGTAGGCCAGCATCACCTTCAGCAACAACGTCAGCACGTTGCCCACAGTTGCACATGCCCTGAACCGAGTGCCTTTTGTAACGATCATGCTGGGCGAGCAGGCAGCACAAACGCTTAGATTGCACCTTGGCTGCTGGGATCTGCTGGGGAAACGATACTGCAAAAACATGGACATTGTCTGCCGTGAGGCATTCGACAATGGTGCCGTGGTCGCATCCAGCGTTTACCAAGCCTAAGCTGCTCAACTTGCACGCTCGTCAGCTCAAAGGCCGTCCTTAAGCACTGGGTTCCGAACCAAGCACCACAAACGGCACAGGCTTCAGCATTCTGGAACATGCTTTGTCTATGAGCATCCACCTTTCCAGGTGGCGCAGCAGTAGCAGCAAAGCTGAAGAACGAGCAACTCGGCTTGTCGGCCTGAGAAGATTCCACAGAATGGGCGCTGAACTCCTTCGGCAAGCTTACGTCACCATCATCCCCATGCGGAGCCGCCTCACAGTTTGCTGGAAAGCTGATATCACATCCCAACAGATCTGCAAAGCTGTCGATACAAGCTCACCTCAGCTGCAGCATTGCTTCCCTCCGCAAAGGGGTTCTTCGCAGCCTGCCAGCACATGGACATCAAAAAGTCTTTGGGGGCCTTAGCATCCTTCTTTGGGTTACATGCAAAGGCTCCCGCCTCGGGCGCCGGGTCGGCCGCGCGTGGCCGAACTGCATCTGCCTGCTGAGGCAGACTGGCCTCCAGCTCTCAGACGACGTGGAGAAAGCACAAAGCGGGCAAGACAAACTGGAGCGAACCCCTTGTGCCTGAAGATCATTACTGAAGGGATTCGTGCCGGACTCCTTCCAAAAGGTCTCAGAGACGACAAACATGCAAACCAATCTTGGGCTCACCAGTACAGCAGCCCTGCACAAGAAGCTACCTGCATTTGAAGGGCTGTTCAATTCTTCACGGGCCCAAGATTGATTTATGTGTTTCTATGTGTTTGCGATTCTTCTTGCGGTCCTCTCCTACAGCAAGCTATTGGACAATAGCAATATTTCTACGGCTCTTCGCTACGGCAAGCTATTCTTTGGCAACCGCGAATTCTCTTGTTTAAAATGTACCCACTTCCTCTAGATGTTAAGTTATGTTCATAATCAAGCTGTGTATATACTTGCGCACGAATACGTTTTTAGCTAAGCTACTAAAGACATAGACGCATAAACCATGTATGCACAATAACTTTCGGGTTGTTTCCAAAAACAATGGAAATCCATGTAAATGCTAGTACAAGTTGAACTCCAAACCCAAATCCATTGATTTCCATCAAACCCGATGGAAATGCATGATACTTTCGAAATTCCGATTGCATTCCGAAACCATTCCACTAAAACGCTCTCAAAATCCGGTCAAGGCTGTAAAACGGTGAAAGTCCTTTGAATGCCATCCAAAATCACTGGAAATCCGTGAACCTGCTTTTCAATCGCTACTAAAGCCTTCCTAACATTGCATTCAAAACCCTCCAACTCCATTGAATTTCACCAATGCGAACCCGAGAACATGCTGTGAAAATCACATTACAGCTGTATGTAACAACATGTGTACTGTACTAACTAACATGTGTCTGCCTGTGAATCCGTATTCATAACACGAACTCCCATTGAGTATCATGAGCAGTAATGGAAACTCGTGACAACGCAACTAAGAACATGTGTGAGTCCGAATAGTTTAGTATTTACAAAACATCAGCGTTCATGGGCTTCCATCGAACTCATTCGAATAAAATCTGCTACAAGGCTGCTAGCATCCAATTAAAATGGTATTCAAAAACGGCCGGACTTCTGGAAACCTTGCAAATGTTTTGAAATGCTATGGAATCCATAATACAACCATGGAAAGTAGAAGACTAGTAACAGTAACATCCTGTTAACACCCCACTCAAACTGTACTCAAAAACCAATGATGAAACCTATTGACTCGGAAATCCCTTATGCATGTATTCAAGACTGCTCTAACTAACTGAACCTATCAAAATCGATGGACATGCAACTTGCTATGCAGCTTCTATAAACAAGCGTTACAGTCCAATGAAGTCTATCAAAATCAATGGTCACAGCAATGTGCGAACTCTTTCTGTTGAACTTTTCGGGATATTGCCTTGCCAAAGTGCTGGTGAAGATACAACTACAAGAATAAGCTAACTATGTTGAAGACACAGGTGCTGCAACCCATCGTGCCGTCAAGCATTACAGAGCTTGAGCTTCATGCTATGGTGTCCCATCGATTAGAACCACTCTTGCTCCACCTGTCTTCCCTGAATGTCCTCGTCGGCAGATGCAAACGGATTTGCCATGGCATCTCTGAGGAGACGCACTGCATGAAATCTCAAGCGGTTTTTCCTACTCCTCTAAGGAAACGGCCTTGAAACAGCCACCACTGTCACTAGCTTCGTCGCCTTTGTTTTCGTTTCCTCTTTGTCAGTGGCGACTGACTTGTCACTGCATCATGGACTGTGCTATTAAACCTCTGACCCCTTTTTTTTGCTGAAGTATGCTGAAGTGTAAAGCCAGGCTCCCGGAGAAGCATTGCCTGCAAGCTTTGGTGTCTTCGCCTTGGATGTAGAGAAAGCAGATGATGTCTCCGGTTGGTGACAGCTGCCGAGCTTCAATTGCGCCACACTGTTTTCCGCGCACGCGACATCCACATCCCCTTGTCTGCCGAGCTTGCCCCGGCAGAGTGGACGACTGGACACCGAGGGGGGACTCGGAGAAGCTAGCCCACTTTCTCCACCAGAACCTTCACTGCACCGACCGATGCAAAGGAGAGTAAGAGACAGAAGAGACGATGTAGCACAAGACCAGGACGCGCTGCAAACAAGGAGCCGCGTCGGTGCCACGAGTTTGACTCCTGCAAGCAAATGAGCGCGCGGTAAAGCTTATTGTTTCAGGCCTGGTCATGGATGTTTTGTGGGGTCCTATCGCTTCACAAGGATCTGCTTAGATTGTTCTGTGGGGTATCAGTTTACTCTCGCGCGTGTAATAGCAGTTAATACTGTAGTACACCCAGTAAAGTCAAAGCAGCAACAGTTTTATTGGCAATAGTAGTTAGTAATGGCAGTGACAGTAGTCAGAGCATCATTGTCAATGATGAGTCCGTCAGATTAGGCAGTCTTTCATACAACGATCTGGTGGGTATCGATTAGGGTATCGATTGCCTAGCATTGCCTAGCCACATATCACACTGGCACGATCTTCGTTGATCGTATCGCTTTTGGGGGAGTCCTATCGCTTTTCGAGGGGTTTGGCCAAATCTGGCATTCCAAGGCCACCTTACTCTTAACTACGATTACGGAAGTGTTGACGGATGCTCACATGCACAACATCAACAGCGACCCACGCTTTCGAAGCGGCGCACCTGGTCACGACCCGGCGCTTTGCCTCAGAACGTCCATTTCGCACTGAAAGCGTATCCGCACGTTTCACTCTGCAAACTTGCTGACAGAGGGCAGGCGGAGCGTCCGCGACGAAGTCGGGATCTTCTTCCTCGTCGTCCTGAGAAACTGTTTGCAGAACTGTGCCTAACAGCAGGTCCTCATGTCGTGAGGGAAGCCTCCATCTCTGGGTCGACATTGACATTGTCTGCGCGATGCTGGACTACAGAGGCTAGGTATGCCAAGAGAGCGCTGGCATCTGCACCTCACATGCACGGCAAGACTTGGGGAAGAGCAAGGCACCGATCACCGAAGCCGACAGCAGCAGTTCCGGCGGTGGGGAGGAGTGCGGAGCCTGTCAGATTGTTGAAGACGGTGGGCTTCTTGTCGTCGTAGCGATGGATGATCAGCTCCCCTCCGCGCGGCCCAGAGTTGGATCCAGCTTCTGCGTCCAAAATGTCCTCCGAGGCGCCATGTTGCGAGGTTCCGAAGTTTTCATGCCCTCCACCTGCCTCCACGGGCAAGAAGGTCGCGGGTTTGGGCAAGAAGCACAAGCCCGCCGCAAGTGGATACAAGACACCTTCCTCGGATGAGCCAAAAGTTATGTCCAGGCTGTAAAGTCCACTCCTAGACGGTCACTGACAAGCCGCCTCCACGCCCCTCCAGGCCTGGACTGCCTCCAACACGCAGGTCGTAGGTTCAGGCGACAGAGCCTCTCAAGGACAGCCCGCCCTGGGATTCTTCACGGGTCCAAGGATGCCTTGTCAACGCCTATCATGGCTTCCAAGAATCGGGAGAGCACCTGAACAGGTTCGATGCTTAACACCCCGCAGCTCTTCCGATTTTTTGCGGCCGCACCAGATACTCTGACTTCTCTTCCGCTGCTGTCAGAGCCTCAACACCGGAAAAAGAAACGCAGTCTCTGTCTGTCCTACCATTCTTCAGACCGTGTCACGGACATCTTCCTGCCTTCAGGACTGCAGCGCAGCGCTCATGGTCCCCGGTTCCAGACTGAAGTGCAGGCGGGCATTGTGGAGCCTGCTGCGAAAAGCTTGGGGTCATGCACTCAAAAGTCAGTGGCAACGTGGCTACGCAGCGACGTTTACGGTCTTCGGGCCATTTCAACCAATGTTCGATTGCTTGTCGCATACTCGAAGGAGCATCAGCACAAATGGCCCGACGAAGTGAAGTTGCTTGTGTAGTGCGATGATGGCAGATGCGTCTGGGTGTCCATGACGGTGCCTACATAGTGACAGCAGGAGCAGGCTGGGAGGACACCACAAACATGTCGTAGACGTATGTACAATGAAGGTCTCCAGCTCCAGCAAATCGACTACGTGTCACCTGAATGCGCCCTCACACACACACACACACACACGCACAAGACTCAACGCCTATAGCATCTTAGAATCGTCTATAGAGTCCAAAAGCTTCCTTCAATGCTTGGCATCCCCGAGAGCGGACTGAGTTGACACTTCGGGTTCCTCCCCGCTCAGTTGAGATCGGACGCCGTGCGCCTTTGTGCCGCTGGCCTTCAAGGCCACACACTGATACCTGGTGCGAAACTCACAGGGACTGCAGAGCAATGCATTGCATTTCGTTCCGAGTCGTCGGCTCTTGCTTGCCCACCAGCAGTGGCTGGGAAAGAACGAGAACCAGCCTGGCGGCATCTAGTGGCGCCGGGAAGATCCGCTGACAGGCTTTGCCGAGGCACCAGTAGTTCTTAGCGACCGTTCCGGCTTTTCGGTTGGTCTCCAAGCAAGGCAACTTCAGGAAGTAGCGCACAGCCTGGTCTTCTCAGTGCTACATGTCGCAACGATCTACTTATCACTTTGCGAACAAAAAGTCAGCTGCGAACGTCCCAGGCTATGGGGCCAAGCCTGAGAGGCAACTCAAGGCCTTTCAGGCTCTCCACTGTCGCATGTCTCGGCCCACGGCGGAGTCTTTCCACCGAAGGTCAGGCCAGACGACGTAAAAAGCATGTCATATCTGCCCCTGTCCACAAGGTGCCGGACGAAGAGGTATGAGGGCTTCAGCAAGGCTGCTAAGGCTTCCGGTATGGCGTGGATATCAGGTGACATTGATGGTCTTGCCATCCCTCGGCGTCGCAAGAACTCCGCCCGGCCTAGGTGCCGCCAATGATGTTCCCGGGAAAGTTGCCAGCACCTCCCGCCACTCCCCACTCCCCGGTTCCCCCACTCAAGCAAGACCAAAGCGTTTGGCTTTCCTCTCCGCAATCCACTCCGAGGATTCCATACTAGTCGCTGGTGTCGATCTTGTCCCCTAAAAAGGTGCGCAAGCATCAGAACCACTGGCCTTTATGACTTTTGCAAGGGCTGCAGCTCAGATTTCAAGCCTGCCCATTCCCAACAGATCCAACTGCGCCTCTGCCGGCAAGACATCCTTGGGAGCCTCCTTGCTCAAGCACTTGATCGTCTGCTGCAACAACCTCCGCGAAGTTCTGCGCTGTGGGTGTTAGGGCCAATTCAAGGCTCCTGGGCACCCCCACAAGGTTGCTGCAGCTCGGTCCCCTGAGAGCTTCGCCTTCCAGAAAACAAAAACGGCTCAAAACTCAAGGCGAAAGCGGCTAAAGCGGCGACTAAAGCGGCGAAAGGGCAACCGTAGGCCCGTCTGTGCCTCCAGCAACCCTGCCAGCTTTTCTGCGTCTCGATCCGCAACGGCGGCCTCCATGGCTTTCTGCGCGGTTACTCTGCGGGGTGAAGGGCATCTGAGGCTCGGGGTGAGGTTCGGGCGGGGTTGGGGTTGGGGTTAAAGCTGGGCGGTCCGGGCAGCTGAACTGTCAAACAGCTGGCGTGTTTCTTCATCTTCTCTATCGGAGCCAAGACCATGAGTTCAGTTCAGGTGGAGCTGCACTGAGCACTGCATCCCCAAAACTGCGACCAGTGCCGGTCTGCCGGTCTTTTTCCCGTCGCGGCCGGCCTCTGGCCCATCCTTTTTCAGACGTGCCCAGGCGAGCACGCGACATGCTTCGTCGATGGCGGATGTTTCCGAGTTGCCAAGATACTGCAACCCAACAAAGACGAGTAACCTGGTCACCTCCCATCCTTCAGCAAGGGAAACAAGCGCGCAAGGTGAAACGTGGCACAATGGCGACGGGCTGTGCCGGATGCCGCTGACTCTTCGCAGGGATCGAGGCCCACCGAAGATCGGATGTCAGGCATTGCTCAGAAAGGGGCACAGCACTCAGATTCGCGGTCCGCCGGTGCCACGTGGAGTGGAGAGGTGCACTGGAGGCAGAACGGATCGACCTCCCCGCAATCCCCAGCCAGCAGGATGCCGTTCTTTCTTCGAAGCACTCCCTTCGTGAGAAGCCTTGCCAGGACCTGCTATGACCTGCTTTGAGTCAACGTCGGGTTGAGCCCTGCAGCCTTTGCTTCCTGGCTGCCCGGGTGCAGACGGCGCCACGCGGTCCTGACACCAAACTACTGGTAACCCCTTCAAAAGCTCAAGCAATCCTTGGAGCTGCTGTCTGATACAAGTTGCACCAGTTGAAAGCAGGTTCCGGCAGGGGTCCCGAAATCTCGGGCGTCTATGCTGTCTGGACTTTCGTCCTTCTGTCTTCAAGTCCCAGCATACCCTCCCATGCATCATCCATCCTTGAGTGGCGGCCCAAGGCAGATGACCTGGGTCTTGTCTCCCAAGCTGAACTCCCCGGCATGTCCCAACAGTCTAACATCCTACAACAATTACACCCTTGTTCCGTACAACATCCTATCCGCGCCGGATTGTAGCATACGACCTTCTGGAGAAACAGAGGAGAGGCAAAGATTCACAGGGCAAGACCGGATGGACCCAGCGACATGGTTCGGTGTCGAAGTAGATAAACAAGTCGATAAGATAGCTAGAGACCTCCATCCATATGTGTATACACACAGTATCTCGTGTAGACCTGTTGATTGTAGCCCCAGTGGCACCGACGTTTCGCTCCTTCAATCTGTGCGTCCTGCATAGATACGCAGCTACCACTAGCCTTGCTTGTATGAATCTCAGTATATGCTTGTTCGGCTGCTTGCTGGACCTCTCTGATTCATCCAGGCACGGGTAGGAGAACGAGAGGAGGGAGCCCAAGAGAGAGAGAGAGAGAGAGAGAGAGAGACAGAAGGCCAGGCCGACAGGCAAGATCAAACAATGAAATATTGGCTCATCGCACACTCACCACAGCACAACCCATGGATTGTCTTGGACAGGCTCCTGAAGTCTGTGCACCCGGCGCCCGCTTGTCTCGAAGGCTTCTGCCAAGGTGTCCTGGAGAGGTGCGCTGATGCGGGCACACACTCAGACCCAGGCCACTAAAATGAGGGAAAAGGCTGCGGCGCAGTGCACTTAAGGCCACGGCTTCAGCGACTCGTATGGAGTCATCCACGGCCTTCGAAGGGCACAACAGGGCACAACTTCGCCCAATTTGAAGAAGCAAAGTTAGATCAGAGAGCGGATGCCAAACGCCTTGCTGTCCTTGCAGACTGCACTGGTGGCTGGACACGGGCCAAGGGCGACCTGCCAAGGCGACGGATGCGGGCCATTGGGCTGGAGCCGGGACAGCCCGGACCTTTCGCTCACAGGCCCAGCCTCTTGGGAACATCGAGTCCTGGCGTCGCGATCGACAACAATAATGCGTGCCACTGCGCCACAGCATGCAAGGAGGGGCCTCGACTTGGGATGCTCGCAGTGCTCGCAGGCTTCGGACTTTGGATCTCCTCTCCCCTGCAAGAAACTTACATGCCTTGCTCTGCCGAAACCCGCTGAGAGGCACCTCGTCGAAGGGGTCGCAGGATCTGGCGCGACAGCCGTGGATGGATAGCCGGCATGTGCCTCGGCTGAGACCCTGAAGCGCACAGTTGCACCGACTGTCTGCCAGTCGGGTGCCTCTTTCGAGCTTGTGGCGTCCTGGCACAGCAGCTCACTTTCTTTACAGTCTGCAACCAAGCCAAGCAATTGCACATGCCATGGTCCTGAGCAAAGGCGGCATTGCACAGCTTTGCGACCTGGAAGCGGGCAGGCCGCACAGCCTTTCAACTTCTACGCCGAACATCCCTAAACAGCACAAAACAAGCCTCCGCAGGAGCCACAGCGAAGGCCACCGAGCACTTGCCTAGTGCCTCCTCACTGCTGGTGCGATCCCAGACAGAGATCGTGTAGGTGCCTCACGGTGTTCTATCGGCACATGTTGGGTCTTGTGGGCTGGACCAGTGATATCCGCTAGGGATGCGGCACCCCGCCACGTGCTCCATCAACGGGCAGCCTCTGATGATCCCAGTATTCTCGTCGAACGAGATTTGTGGTGGCAGACCTGCAACAAGCACTGTTGTCTCCCAAGCGCTTAAGGACGCAAGTGTGCCTGGAGCGATAGAGAAGCGCGGATGCTGGGGCAGTGACTCACCTGCAGCGCGCTAGAAGTGGACCCAGCCTATCGGACACAACAGGACTTGAAGACATCGCCACATCGTAATCCAAGAAACGACGGTGGTGGTGTTTGTCCTCTTCTCCTCCCAGTCCTCGAATAGAGTTGCAAATTCCTTCACTTCCTGACTTCCTGGTGCTATGGAACCAAGACCGTGCCGTCAAGCCGCCGGTTGTCGTGGCCGAGTGAAGGATAGAGCGCCTCCGATGCTTCCTTGGATCATGGCCCGGATGCACACTTGGTGAACTTGGCGACTTGCACTCTCAGTGCATCGGAGAAGCCGCTTGGCCTGCAGGTGAGGCTGGAATTCGAGCTCTTCGAAGGCAGGCCACAGCGGCATCAATGTCGGGTACGCAATCCTTGTGCACAGGGTCGCTCAGAGAGCGAAGCTCATGAAGCTTCATGAAGACATGAGCATCTGCTTGAGGCCAGCAGCTCGACCTCACGCTGGAGTCGCTCGCTCCTGAAGCTGCATACACAGCTAAATCTTGCATGTGCCTGTTCGGAAACTTGGCCTCAGTTTACAAACGACCCGACCAGCTCAGTCCAGCTCTCGCACCCCGTGCTCCAATCCAAGTAAGTGCCGGACGCCCTCATCAGCTTGGAATGGCTCGGAGAGGGTTCGTCGACATTGGCAGCATGACTGGCCGAGGTGGCGAGATCAACGGAAAAAACATGGTTCCAAGAAACGCTGCCGAAGAACCCGTTTCCATTGCTCGACGGCATAAGTCATCACCGGTCTATCAAGCAAGTACTCCTAATCGACCCTGCCGCAACCGAAGCTGCTGGACGGCCTTGACATTCGGCGAATACTTCTGAACTTTCCCACCGGCATAGAAGTCGAAGCAACGTCAGCTGTGTCCTTGTGACGACTGGCAGTTCTTCTCCGACTCTGGGCCACTGCCTACTGCCGCCAAGTAACATCATCTGGGAGATGGAGCTTCGACGTTCGACGTTCCACACGACTGGCACGCCTGAGGCTCAAAAGGCACTAGAGCCGCCCTTGGCCGGGCCCCGCAGATCCCCGCAGCCTCGCAGCCAGAGCTGAGTTGCGTCGACCCGTCACAGATCCACGCCTTCCGCAGACGGAAAGTTTCGGATTGTTCGTGGTTTGCCTCTCGGAACTTCACGTAGGTAAACATACCTGAGTCCACTGAAGCAGCGCAACTCCGATCCTTCTACCGGCACTGCCGCAGCTATGTCGAGCAGCCGTGCGACCTGAGTAAATATCCTGTAACGATGCGCTCGGATGGACCCTGCCGGGCAACTCCGAGCCTCTTGGACCCTGCAAGAACCCTCCACCAAACCTGCTACCGTGAAGTTCTCGAGCCGTGATCTCGGACTGTGTTAAGTGCGACTGCACGTCTGCGACTGTCTCGAGCATTGCAGTGCTCTCGAAGAGTCGACGTCATGCCCGGCCGACTTTGCCAACCGGCTGCAGCCACCAACTCAAGGCACGAAGACCTCAAGAACTTGCCTGCAAGCCCAACAACTCTTCCCATAGGATAAAGGAGGGGGGCTCGAACCAGATGAGCAGCACAATAGCCCAAACCCTCAAACAGACTGAAACATCTGCACAGCCTCTTTGCCTCGCCTCATCCCCAGGGCGGCGATCGACTTCCCCACGGAGGCGAAGATGGAGCTGCGCTTGGGCCCGTCACGCCTTTGCAACTCGCGAAGGCCAGTTCTAGTAGCCATTCACATCTAGGGCTTGGACCCGCCAAGAAGAAACAAGCACTCACTCAATGCAGAGACCTGTCCTACCTCGTCCGATTGATGGCTCAAGCTCACAGGACATACTCAACATGCTCGAACCCAAGATGTCTCGATTTCCTTGAAGCCCCACAAACTACGCAGGTGCCGCTTGGGGACAAGGGTTTGTGATGGGTCTGCTACGTTCTGACGAATGCTTGCAGTTCAGCTGCGGAACACCGGAAGGACTCTTTTGTGGAGGCTGCTCATCGGTTTTCCTTGGATGGAAAGACTGATCAGACTCATCGGCTTCGTCCACAGCAGCAGCCGTGCACCGATGGAGGAATATGCCAGGAGTATGTGTCTCAAGGCTTTCCGAGACACTTCCTGTCCTCCGACGCCTCCTCGTCCGTTCGCGTTGCTTGGCCACTGTCTTCCACACGCAGGTCGCTTCGAACTTGGCCCACCAAACCTGCCGCAGCCTGCGTCAATTACTATCAATAACTAACATCAACCTACCCCTGCTTCGCTTCGGCCTCCACACCATCATCCGAGGAGTTGGAAAGCCCTTCCTGCGCATCTCCGGCATCCGACTCGGGTTCGGCGTGGGAGCCATCCTCACACTCGCAACATGTCGCAACATCTCGCAACAGCTCGCAACAGCTGGCAAGGATCCAACTCCTGAAGGCTCAAAGCTCCGAACGCGGAGCTATAAAATGCATTCTGCTTTGGTCTAAGACTCGAGGCCACCGAGGCCCTCCTCGGAGTCGCTGCCTCACAGGTCCAAAGTGGTAAAATGCGAAACCGAAAAGCCGAGACCCGAGGCCATCCGAGGCCGAGGCCTAGGGATGATCCGGAATCCTCCGCAGTCTCCTCCAAGCCGGAGCCCTGATCGGCGTCTGCCTCTAAGGCAATGCAGAGCACATCCAGGAAGTCATCGGGGTCCATCTCCTGCCACATCACAGTCACGGGATTCGTCTTCTCTGAGAAGCCGTGCAGTGCGTCGCGGGGCTCCGCCGCATGCTCCATGTACTCGGCGGGCAGCTCCAAGATGCGCATCACGATCTACCAGAGACGGCATTTGTGGTCTCTCTTTTGCAAACCCGGCGCCCCGGCCTCAAAGGCAGGAAACCCAACGTCACTGGCCAGGACTTCCTAAGCTGAATTGGTCTTGGGACTGACGGCTGAAGTGTGTTGGTTGCTGCTTCCATTGAAATAATCTGGCCCTCCTGGACGACGGGACCCCTGCGCACCATCGAATAAAACTCCGTCTCGCTGTTTCTGTTGGTCGAGTCAAGCTTCACAAAAGTCCGCAAAGCCTTCGAGAAGCTCTTGATCCTTGCATGGCGCAATTGCCCTGAAGGCTTCAAATTGCGTAGAAGGCCACGCGGCTTGATGCACCGTGCTTTGTGACCCATCTAATCCTTGTCCCTCTTGAAGTCCCTCTTGGACCCAGATCTCAGAAGCATTGGGCAGGCTCTCAATTTTAAAGGAGGTTCATGTCCCACCCAACTCTCCCAACTCCCGATCTCGTCTCCTGAAGAAGCTCAGATGCCGCCTGCAGCGCTTCTATGCCTCGTTCGCTGAGCACCTGCAAGCACTTCAGAGAAAAACCTGCCGGGGACAGACGGGGGCGGGCGCGGGGCGCCTCGAGCGCTGGCCCCTTCAGGATGCCTCCCAGGAACTCCCAGGCCGCGTCGTCGCCGCCTGGCCAAAGAGGATCAAAAGCCATAGAAAGGGAAGGAGGCACGCGCAGGCGAGCGCAGGCGCGCTTGCGCGGGGCGGGTCTCCGGGTCCCGGGCGGAAGATGCTGGGCGCAGCCGCCAGGTGAAGGACCGTGGATGCACAGAGCGCCGAGGGCACCTCGAGGCCTTGGGCTCTTCTTTGGAGTGAGACGGAAAGTTCTGCATGGACCTCAGAATCTAGTGAATCTAGTTCAAAGCCAAACCAATGCCAACCAGGTAGTGGCACCGAGCTCGCTCTTGCTGCCAGCCATGACAGACACCTGACATGCTCAAGGGCTGTACTCTGGGTCTCTCAAGGCCACTGCTTTCGGCTTCAGCTGGCTGAAGGGGGAACGGGGTACCTGGATGGCGAAGGCATCCATGACAGACTGCATGGATTTCTCTGAAACAGAGTCCCCGTCCACCTCAGCAGTTCACGAGTTTTGGCTGGTGGTAGTTCTTCGCCACTCCAGTCTTGCATCAAGTGCTAAGGCGACCTCCAGCACATGCCTCCAGGAAATGGAGCCACTCGCGCAGTCCAGGAGAAGACAAGCCGGCAGGTCTCCTGCACTTCGCAACCCGCCACTAGCGGTGCCGCAGTGCCCAAGACCCGTTACAGGCCACAGGCGGAGGCTCCTTGCACGACCTCGAACTTGAGCTTCAGGCTCGGGAGGTTCAGGTCACTGGCCTCTACCGCCGGGGGACTGGACTCGAAATATCTCGACCCGATCCCGGGCGCCGTGACCTCGTCCAGCAGAGTGGTCTCGCGAGGATCCTCTCCATCAACAGTCTCACGCAACACCTGGTGTGCAGACAGAAGCGAATTTCATCCTGAAACATCGACTCAGCACCGGGACTCGGACGAGGCGTGGCGAGAACTTGCCAGAGGTCTCATCAAGACCGGGAAGAATGCAAGTCCAGTCCGGATATTGCAGATGTAGCGTGCCTTGCACGAACTCGCTCCGACTCACAATTTGGGGGTACCGGGCACCGCCAGATGAGATAGGGCACGTATCTTCTGTGGGGTCGGCACAGCCGCTGCGGCGAGCTTATCAAGCCTCAACGGCTGGCTCCAGCCGCTTTGATGGATAGACTGCCTGCGCTCGGAAAGCACAAAAGGATCCGAGACCTTGGACACTACCTGTAAGGTCTGCGACTGAGCGGAGTCGAAAGCCTTACGTAGAGCTGAAGGCGAATCCGGACGCAAGCACTTGAAGCGCAGATGTCGGGCAGCGGAGTGAGGCCAACACCTCAGAGCCCAACTCGGAGAACACAGCAGCCCCGTCCTTTGCATCAATCGTGGTTAAGCGGCAAGTGTCGCTCGTTGCGGCCGCACAAGCCTGCAGATCGCCCGCAGAGCTACGAGTAACGAGTAGCTCTGAGCGCCGCTCTCATATGCTCTCATGCTTCGCACGTGCTGAAATGTTCTGGAGCCGAACAAAATCGTGATACTGGCTCGCCATGATGCTACAAGTGTGTGGGGATTCCCATCGAATCGAAGGGATCCATGTTCAAGGTGTGGCCAGCCTTGGCGACGAGCTCACTGGCTGTCGTCGGGTCCTGTGCCCAAAAACATCTCAGTGAAACTCGAAGCCTTTAAGCGAACCGCTGTCAAAACTGCACTGGTAAGAATAATTGCTTCGAGGTTCACTGTCACCCTGGCCCACGTAGTGCTTGCAGATTGGCTGCAGCTCGATCGCTGGCTGCCAAACTAAAGGAGACATGCCTGACACCGGGGCTTGAATCTTTGCTGTCAACTTATTGAAACTCGCAGTGCGGACAAGGGCAAGCCGGAATACCATCAGCTTCAACACAAACTAACCTACCTACAATCCCAACTTCTCGACATGTTTTCTTCGGCAGAACGTGGATGAAGGCACTGTTCGCACGCCTATGATGCTTTGGCCGACACTTTCCTCACCGAACTCCACTTCGCCGTCCTCATGCGAACAGCAAATCCGGGCATACGTTAGCTCGGGGCAGGCTTCTTGTCAGACATGACTCCAACTTATTTCAAGATTGAGGCCCAGTGCCCATCGTTCATCGTTGATTCTAGGGTTTAGTTCGCATGGGCTTGATTCTGAGTCGGCGCGTGAACTTTCTCCGTGTGGTTTTCGTGATATCCAAAACGGATTCTACAAGCCTAGGGTTTATCCCACATCAGTCGGCGAGACCAGCGGCGAGAATACACGTCATCAGATGCTAATCCCATATAGACGCTGTTTTTTAGTCTCCAAGTCGAACAAGCTCAATTTTCAGGATATGCCGCGGACGCTGGGGTCTCAAGTACTTTTCATTGCATTCTAGAACACATTTTGGCACCGAATCCCCATGTGGACGCTGGTTACTCGCTGCTTTTCCTCGTCCCATGAACCGATGCCCTGGGAATCGACGCAGTCCACGTATCGAGCACTGATCGTTGGAGCAGCACCAACGATATCAAAACCAGCCAATCCCCATGGAGACGCTCGATTCACAAGCGCACGCACAAGACACTCATCAGTGGCATCACAGCACGTCCAAGCCAGCCATACCCCATGTAGACGCTCGATTTCACAAGCATGCCCGCGAGACATACATTAGTCACATCAGTGGCATCATAACACACCAAACCCTGCCACTCCCCATCTAGACGCTCGAGTAACAAGTGCATGCATGCACAAGACACATGACAGTGGCATCACTGCACGCCCAAGCCAGCCGTTGCCCATGTAGGTGTGTCTCTGTCTCTATGTCCTATGCATGTGTGTGTCTTACCCAGACTGGTTCGGATGAGCTGGACCTATTTTCCACAGGGCCCTGATTAGATCCGAAATGGGCAAGCACCCGTTCGAGACAAACATCCGTGTCATCACAACACATCATCACCAGTGAAGACACTCGATTCCACAAGCACCGGTTCGAAACACAAGTCGTGGCATCATGGCACGTCGCAACCTGCCATTCCCCATCTAGACGCTTGATTCCACAAGTCACAAGCCGCGCGAGACGCACATCAGTAGCAGACGCTCGATTCCACAAGCACCCACTCGAGACGAACATCGATGGCAGCACACCACATCCAACCCAGCCTTTCCCCATCTAGAGGCTCGACTCCACGTGGAACCATCGGATCGTTCACAAATAGAATGTTTGAAAGCGGCTTCCCGAGTGTGGACGCTCATCGATCTGATTAAGGAATGCACCCAGATGTCGATAGTATGTAGCAGAATTTTACGTAGACTTCACGACTCAATGCTGACCTGCCTTGTCCGAGGACGGGAGCGCCTCGACGCAAGCCCAGAGGTGGCCTGTTCTTTCAAACCCAACACACAGTGCAACAAAAGTGCATTCTTTTCTCAGATATGGGGTCTGCTCGACGACACGGCACGGCGCCTCCGCAGACTTGCGAGAGTCTTGGCCAGTTGAAGATCAAGCATATCATGTTGCAAGACTGACCTGGCGATGGCTGTGCCGCTTCGGGGTGAAGGGCTCAAAAGGGGGGGGAGGGCGGCCGATGGCATCCAAGGCAAGGACCCACCACATGCAGCTCACTCGGAAGGTCTGGCCTTGGCTCTCCATCAGTGCAAAAGAAGGAACATGATTTTCAAATCGCCCAGTGGCAGTTTCCAGGCCAGTACCTCCGATGGTTTTGAGTGGACAGGCTCGAACTTGGAGATGTCGCTCGAGGGCCCTCAGAGTTTGACACCACGAGTGGAACATGGCCCCTGCACTCTGCACTGGCCTTCATGTTCATTTTCAAATCAAGGAGCGATCTGCGCAAAGCCTGAAGCGAGCTTCCGAAGGGGTCGGACTCCTCAGATGGAGCCAGAGCCAGGTCCTACTTACTTTCAGGTCTCAGGGTCGAAGACAAGTTTTGCCCAATCCGGACGAGGAGCGTTTGGAACAAAAGTCGGCCTTCTTGCTCGGCATACTCGAGATCATCTTCATCCAGCTCGTCGATGTCCTACAGTAACAGCACGATGCAGCATGCCGGTGACATCGCTGTGCTGCTCCGACCTGCTCCAGAGGCAGTAGCGCCTTGGATGGAACATCACAGACTGGCAGCATCTGGCCTTGCGGAGTTCTAACCACCATACCCGAACCAAAGTCTCTGCTCTACCCTCGGCCTTGGAACAGTCTGAAGGCCCCTCAGATCGCAAAGCCGCATCCAAATGAAGTCAGGCTTCGGAGATGTTCTGGGAGGCTGGCTCCTTGGGCTGGAGGGGTGATGCGACCGGGCGTGCTCGGGTCCCTAGCTCTCGTCAACACAGAAGACTTGAAGGCAGGAAGCTAAAACCAGAAAGCAGGCAGCAGAAATGCAGAGCAGAAGTCTCCCAACATGGCAGTAGCACAAAATCGGCAACCAAGGAAAACCAACAACGTCTTACACTTCCCCTTAACCGCCACGTCCTGGGCCTGGACTGTGCCCCTTTACGGACAGATCAAGGCTCCGAGAAGAGCATGGCTGTCGGAACGGGCTCCCAGTCCGTCTCCTCTTCGCCAATTTGGTGCCTCGCTTCTTGCGCTTGAAGGGTTTCCCGACCACTGCCACTTTGAGGAATCGAGGAACCGGCTGCTGCTCAAGTTTGTACTCCAAAGGGGGCAGTCCATCATTCAGCTCGCCCACGTCCAGCTCGGGTTTGGGCCAGCACAGCTGAAGGATCTCCTGAACTTCAAGCAAATGCAGAAAGAACTGGCATCGTGCTTGAAATCGGTGAAGACAGGGCGCCGAGTGAGTCAGGCTCTTGCTCTCCACATCCTTGCCGCGGCAGTTCAGGGCTGCCTAAGGCCTAAGGCGCCTCGGCCTGGGGCCTTCATGAAAGGCTGAGAGGCTCTTATTTGGCTCTATAAGGGTCCTCCATAAGAAGGAAACCTCTGCCCAGGAAGGTCGGCAGGGGTGGCATGGCCTTGCTGGCCTGGCCCTCCATTTGCAGCGCCAACGTCTCCGATGGCTCTGAGGGGGAGCTGTAGCCCTGAGGGCTGCTGGCACGCACCCGGAAGCGGAGCTCCTAGCAGAAAGCTCGATGCTCTCTCCAAAACCCCAGGCGCCCACATGCGCCCACGGGCGCCTCGTACCCGAAGCTGGCTTTGATGGCCTCTGCGACTGTCGCCCTCTCCACCAGGGCTCGCACCAGGACAGTCGAGGTGTCTTCCACCTTGCCAGGTTCTGGGAGTTCGAAGACTCTGAGGACTGTGGCAGCTTGCATCGAGGAATTCACATACACATCAGAGTCCCAAGTGGGCACCCTTGAATCGGAAAGCACTCGAAACTGCAACAAGGAACCTGTTCCGGTGCAGTGCAAAAGCTGCGCAAGCCGGTCCAGTCGCAGAACTTGCTGCTTGCCCGGCGTTTCCTGCCTTGGACCTGCTTCTCTCACACTTTGCAACAAGTGGTCCGGCGACGACTCGCGCTGCTGAGAGAATGAGTGAAGCACCTGAACTTCAAATCCGATTCCGCGGGGAAGTTGAGCCGGCATGTCACCATCTACGGCCACATCGAACTCCAATGAGAAGGAGAAGGCATTGCCCCTGCCGCAAGGACACGCCCTGGCACCGGTCGCTGTCACCTCTGGTCCAAGGCCTGACTTCTGGCTTCGCCAGCTGGAGGAGAAATACCTCCTGGCTGTCATCCTGCTCCTTCCATGGAGTTGGCGTGGACCAGTTGCCACCTGAAAAGCTTCGATGATTGCAGGAGGGGCGGTAAAAGGTTCCCCTTTTCAGTGAAGCGCAGAATAGTTTTCTTTGCCGATGTAAGATCGCCACCCGCTGCTCGGACGCGGAGCCGCCAAGCCTCCTCGGGCATGGTCTCAGAGTCGACCAGCTCCACAGCAGCCTCAGATTCGCTAGATGTGGCAACATCGATAGCTTCATATCATGCCCTTGCTGTACGTCTGCAACAACAGACGTCCGCTTCCGCGCTGCCACTGCAACAAACGATGTCTCGGCTAGACCTGCAATTCTAGATTCTGCGCAGCAGCTGGCAGTGTAGACTGGCACTCGCGAACTCGTGGGCTGAGCAGAAGAACAACTAGAACTGGGGTAAAACAAATTCCCCAGCAGCCGCTCAACCCAGATTCTCTCTTTTGCATGATGGATGGGTGTGGCTGCCTCCAATGTCCGTCTTTCGCTCGGAAGCTTCAATCCCACAAGCTCGAAATCAGGATCGCGGGCGAATCTCGGGTTTGCTGTTCGGGATGCAAAAGGTCTCAGTCAAGCTCGCGGCTATGTTCAGGGGTCTCGGACACCCCTACGAATCTCCCAAACTTAAACTTGGCAACATGCAAACTTCACCAAGGCCGAGATGCTGTGAGAGTTGTGGCCTGGGTCCCTTCCTCTGCCACATCTTCAGACCGCCTTGGAGACATAGGAGCTCAGGGGCCTCCTGGAAAACCTTGAATACCCAGATGCTGCCCCGCTGCTGAGGCAGGAAGAAGCTCCGCACCGGCTTCCAGTCCTCCGGAGTCTTGGGACGTTTCTCGCTAAAGCGTGGAGCGCGATGTTCGCAGTTTCTACGTCTATGTGACCAAAGGTTATGCGGTCCGGCTTCGGCTAGAGTGTTGTCGGATTGAGGGCTGGTTGAAAGTTTCACCTTGACAGAGATATGCACGATGCAATGACCACCAGGACCCACTAGGATCTTGGCGCCTTTTTGGGCAACTACCGCAAGCGTCCTTGAATCTATGCTGGTATCCTGGACATGCCCTTCATACTCATGTCCTGTGCGTCCAACGCGGTGCGGAAGCAGATTTCCGCTTCGAACAGCATATCTGCAGCCAGCTTGCCCCTTTGTTCCCAGGAAACCTCGGGCAAACCGGAGAGCATCTTCTCCCACATTGGTTCTCTTCTTGTTTGCTCTTCTGCTCGTCCTTTGCTCTCAGGGGTATCTCCCTCTGTCATCGATTCCTTTAACTACAGGGAAAGGAACTCGGTCACGCGCAACCACAAGTCCGGCCGTCCGTCATCCGCGCAAGCCTTTCTCTCTCCATGTCTTCTTCAACTCAGTCAAACCAAAGGCGGACCCCCCCTTGCACACGCATGTGCCCCGGTCGTCTTGGTTGGTGTGAATTGAGGCACGATTGGGCACTGTCGTGACCCCCGGTTAATAGAAAATTGATTACAATCCCCGGTCTCGCACCTCGTCATCGCATGTCCCCCGTATTGGGGTTTCTGTGCTGCTCGTTTCGCAGAGCTCTGGCTTTCGGCCGTGCTGTGCAGGACCAAACAAGTATGTCTCTCGCTCTCTCTCTCTGTCTCGCTCGCTTCTTGTGGCGGGATTGAAGCTTTCTTTTTTCGGCGAAGACCGCAGGTCAAAGAAGAACCTCTGAAGGACCAAAAGTACTACAATTCTACCACTGGTTCTGCATCACCGCAAGCACAGCAAGCATTCCAGCACCCTCGCCTGCCAGAGATTCCTGCTGCCACCAAGGATGTTCAACTGCTGCGGGCGTCGTGGAGCCGCTTTCGGTGCAGCATTCCTGAAGCACCGAAGGGCCATGAGATGACCCACAGATGTGACCAGACTCGCTTTAGTAAAGAACAACGAAGTCACAGAGTCTCTCGGCGCCTCAGGGCCTCCTGCGCGGCCTCTGCCGCCAGCAGCGCATCGGCAAGGACCACCGGGGCCTCCGCCTTCACCGTGGCCGAGGCGGAAAGGCGCAGCACGCGCGGCGGAGGGGGGGGGGGACCGTCGACAGAAGCTCCGACCAAAATCAGCAGCTCACCTCCGCGAATGCGTCGCTAAGGCGGCCGTCGTTGCTCTGGCAACGCACTCGCAACCAGCAGCGGGATGAGCCTACCGTCGGATTGCAAAGGAGACTCGGTACAAAACGGCCAACACCAAACCTGACAAGCCATTCAGCGTGCGGCCATGGACGAAACATGTCCGTGGTTGACAACAAAATTTTACAGAACCCGAAACTCCCGGTCTCCCGCGGCTGCTTCCGACTCTCTAACCCAGGTCACCGGATCTTGCAGCTAGACTCCAGAAACATCAACATCGCAGGCGCAGGAGCAAAGGCCAGCCTGCACCTTCCTGCGGCATGTGCAGCGGAACAAAGCCTCAGGAAAGGGCTCGTCACTCCCACGGTTTAACGGCCCTAGGGAAAAAACAGAGACTAACTGACAATCGAGCGAAACCTTCAGCCACCCTACTGACGCCTTTATTTGTCCACGGGCTTTGGGCCGACACGAGCTTGGGGGAGCAACGGAATGAGAGCCTTCCTGCGGCCAAGGCACCGAGGTTCACAAACCCCGTCGGGCTGGATTGGCTTTCCACCTGCATCACCGCGGCGGCCGTCGAGCTCCAGTCCGATCTACGGGAAGCATCCAGCTCCCAGGACGCCTCCCGACACAGATACAGTATGGAGGGCGCTTGCCGCATTGGAGCCGTGCCGTCGCCTCCACGACGTAACCGAAACCCTTGAGGCCGCTGTCCTCCCAACGCATCGAGGAAGAGACTTGACCTTCGCCTTCGCCTTCCACCATTTCTAGCGAACTAGTACTAGTCAGAGATCTTGTCTGCGGTGGGTATGAGCTATAGAGTGCGACAAAAGGCACCGGTGATGCTCTGTCCTTCTCCGCTGTCCAGGAGACTTCGGCTAGAGGAAGCTTACCTTCCCGACAGCATGTGCACGTGCAAGGAATGTCTGACAAGTCTATGACTGATCTTGGACGAGAAACTTCCAGGGGCAGTGAGTGTTCTCGTCACCTCCAACTTCTCTGCAGCAGGAGGCCCAACGACACCATTCATCCGCAGCGTCGCTCGCACACCTCTGCGCAGGCGCAGGAGCAGGAGCGAAGCAGCGGACAGGCCGCCCCAGGCCGGCCCAGGCCGGCTTCCAGTGCGGGCACGATGCTGTGAGCAGCTTTTCCCGAGGCAAGCTTGACCACTCGCAACGCCAAAGGCTCGGCGGCCGGGAACTGCTCCAAGCCTGCACAGAACGGACACGTCCCCTTCTGGCCTCTGGATGCCTCTGGCAATTCACGGCTCGGCCTGAGACGAGAACTTCGCTGTATACCTGAGCAGCTTCAGGGATTTGTCCAGCAGAGCAGCCTCGACGGGGTTTCAGCCTTGTCGTTTCTCACCTCCGTTCGGTGATACATCGGAAGGATGCTCCAAACGACATAGAATGGCAAGCGCTCCTGGCGCTTCAATCGCACGACTCCCCTGCTCTCAAATACTGCCCATGTCCTCCCGCGCTTCGACTTGGTACTTCACGTCGGGACCTCAAGTGCATGCAACTTCAACTCGCAGCAGCCACATTATCCATCCAGCAAGCTCCCATACGACGTCCGATTTAGCCGTGCTAGTTCGGTCAAGTCAAGAATACAAGCAAAAGCTCCAGGGACCTCGTTCATGTGGAAACAGAACATGCATGCATCCGTGCTCATCTTTGTCTCTCCTGCCTGTTCCGTGGATATTGCAGCCAAGTCACCATCTTCCTCGATCCACTGCAGCCGGCAGTGCGTGCGCAAGCCTAGCAGTTAACCCCCCTCTCTTGATTGAGAAGCTCTCCGTGGCACTACCGCGCTTTCGGATCCCTCCACGCTCAAAGGAGCTCGCGTTCACTCATGGCAAGGGCCGTGAGACGTAGCCTCCACCCACTGCCGTGTCTGCTTTGTGAGGAGTTCCCGTGCCGAACCCGAACATTGCAAGTTCGGAGTGAATGGGTATCTGAGTATCATGAAGGAGCCACACGAGCGGTTTTTTTCACTCTCTCTCTGGGATGTCGGGCAGCGCACACGTGGAGCACACTCGGATTATAATCTGTACAGGACAGCTCTTACTCGGGGTCCGTCTCTTCGGCCTCGGTCGTGTCATCCGGAATGCTTGTGCTTGTGATGCCACCTGAGAAAACTTTTGTTGTGAATTTGCGTTGTGCCATCTCGGCGAGAAACTCGTCCTTGCCCATAGCCGACGTCTCTGTGAACAGAGCCTTGAGGTACGGTAATGCATCGGCGAAGTAGATCTCCCTTGTTTTCTCCCGTGCTCCTAGAAGCAGCTCAGGCTTGTGCGTCAACATAATCTTATGAATCCTGCCCTCAAACTGTATGGCGTGTAAGCATGAAGACACCAAGCAGATCTGAAGCGCACAGACCAGAGACAGCTTTGGCTCTACGGCCAGCAACTCCATTTGGTAAGAATGGAAGCGTTGAGCAAAACATGAGGAGCGGGTGCGCCCGACCTTGTAGTAGGGCTCT